ATACCCTCGAACCCGTAGAATCGGGTATCCTCGATTTTTACCGTATACAGATAGTCCTCGCGTTTCTTAGAATGAAATGATAAGAAACGATTTGAGTCTACGAGCTTCTTTCTTGTTCCTCCCGAAATATCAAATATTCCAATCTCCATTCTTCCTTCACAAAAACAAAATGGCCAAAACATCTAAAACTGTTCCGCAAAGGGAAACCGCTTAGGTTCGGGCTAAGGAGCGCACCAAGTGTCGGTCTCAGAGGGAGACCTTTGAAGAAATCCATACTCAGGGCTTTGTTCTTTCGACCGAGATCGATGGAACCCGAATGACCATTTGAACTAGAGTTTGAGTAGCTCTTAGGCTTTATAGATAGTCCCCGAGTGAGAGTTTGCTCGAACTCGGGTTGGGATAGCCCTTGGGCTTTTATGATCGAGTGAGGATTTGCTCGAACTTGAAGTAAAGTTAGCCTTTAGGCTTTTTTATATTGGCCCTTAGGCTCTTTAGATCGGCCCTTAGGCTCTTTAAGGTCGGCCCTTAGGCTTTTTACGTTGGGCCAATTCGGCTCCTAAAAACGGCTATAATTTTTCCCTCTTTTCGGCTAAAAGACTCGAAAAAATTTCTTTATGCCTTAGCATGTGTTCTTTCTACCCGTTAGGTTTTTTGAGGGTTCAATGATCGGAACCCAATTTTTCCTTAACTCGTTTGTGTTAAGATAATTTAAAACCTCTTGAGGCTTTTTCGAAGGCTGATATTATCGAAGCCTTTAAATTATTCAAGGGCTGATTTTATCGAAGCCGTTTTTTTGTTTGCTTTGCCGAGGGTAGCCTTATTTAACCGTTTTTTCGAAGTGCTTGAAGGCATTTATTTTATGGCGGAAGTCGGACGTCTCCGAGCCGTATTATTTCGGCCGTAGCCCTTTTATATAACTGTAGACTTTAATATGGCCGTAGCCTTCGGGCATGTCTCTTGGACTTGTTTCCTGATAACATTTCGAACTTGTTCGAAATGTTAGTCCCCGGGTGTGATAGCCTTGACCTGTATATTGGGGGGTGCCTCTTTGAGGTCTTATGATTTCGAACTCAAATAGCTCGAGTCGGTAGTCCCTGAGTGTTCGAGGTATGCTTGCACTTGGGTTAAGATAGCCCTTGGGCTTTTATGATCGAGTGAGGATTTGCTCGAACTCGAAGTAAAGTTAGCCCTTAGGCTTTATAAACAGTCCTCGAGTGGGAGTTTGCTCGAACTCGGGTTAAGATAGCCCTTGGGCTTGTGTATTTGTTACGGATTTCGGATGTCTTCGATCCGCATTAATTTGGCCGTAGCCTCTTTTAGTTCGAAACTTGCCCTTTGGGCTTATCTTTCATTTCACTTCGAGCTTTCCCGAAATGTCAGTCCCCGAGTGGGGTGGCCGTGGCCTGTAAAGTCGAGGATTGCCTTTAAGGTCTTATGGCCTTGAAATGTTAGTAGTTTGATTCCGTTTGTTTTTGGGACGACAGTCCTCAAGTATGGGGTCAGTTGTTCATATTTCCGTCGTGATCAGCCCTTAAGCCTGTTTACACAATAGATCAAGAGTATAAAATATGAAATTTTTCTAAAGGCAGAGGATATCTGCAAGGAAAAATACTTCTCTGAATAGATGATTATACATGCGCGCATGTTTGATGTTAGGGTACGAGTAACCTATACGGGCACGGGTCACCTGACCGTTTGACCCTTACAACATTTTCCTATCGAGACCCCGCTGTCACGAAGTGATTTCCTTGCAACAAAGTAGATATATGAGGATAATGCCCCCAGTACTCGAGGCTTATTGTAGGGAACCCCGGATACTGTTGAATAGCTCTAAGTTAGCACGAAAAATGGTTGCCTCGTTAAAAACCTTGTCGGAAAAACCCATTTGGGAAAAAACCGGTCTAAGGGAAAAAGAGTGCAACACGTTCTTTAAGATCCAAAGCTTCGTGCCGATCCTTGTCGATAGCCTGCAAGTGTTAGTCGAAAAAATAGAAAGGATTGGACTGGGGTCGTACCTTTATTCGGATTTTGGATACTTAATGTGATCTTCCTTGGCATCAAGCCCCCGTGAATTTCGACCTCGATCATTTCTCCTCTCATTTCATGCGAAACTTTACCCGGATCAGCTGCCTCTATGGTCTCCGTTGTATGGTTGATATTGATCTCTATTCAACCTCGGCCCTCGATCGATATCCCTTTTGATCCTATTCAAGGACCTTCTAGGATAAACGGACCCCGAAGGAGTCCCCAGTTGATCATCCTCGACCCTAATCTTTGACTGATACTGATTATGTACGTCGGCCCAAGTGACAGCCGGGTACTCGATTAAACTTTGTTTCAATCGTTGTGAAGCTATGGAACTCCGAGTGTTGAGATCTTGAGTGAAAGCTTGAACAGCCTAGTCATCGGTGACAGGAGGCAAATCCATTCTCTCCGCTTGGAACAGAGATACGAATTCCCTGAGCATCTCGTTATTTTTCTGCCTTACCTTGAAAAGGTCCGACTTCCTTGTTGCAATTTTTATGGCTCCGGCGTGTGCCTTTACAAAAGAATCTGCAAGCATAGCAAATGAATCAATAGAATTAGGGGGTAAGTTATGATGCCATATTAAGGCACCCTTAGATAGAGTCTCCCCGAATTTCTTCAGCAGTCAGATTCGATTTCATCGTCTTCCAAATCATTTCCTTTTATGGCACATGTATGAGAGGTAACGTGCTCATTGGGGTCCGAGGTTCCGTTGTATTTAGGTATATTGGGCATCCTGAACTTCTTTGGTATGGGCTTTGGAGCCGCACTCGGAGGGAATGGTTTTTGCACAAACTTTTTGGAGTCCATTCCTTTTAATATCGGTGGTGCCCCCGGAATCTGATCGACTCGAGAATTGTAGGTCTCCACCTTCTTGTCGTTAGCCTCGATTTTCTTTTCTCCCGACTCTGTTCTCTAAGTAAGCTCCTCGAGTATTCTCACTATAGCAGGGTCAGTTGTCGAAATATTGTCACTTGATCTTTCGAGCACTGGCTCGGTACGGCGAGTAGCCTCTTGTTCGACCCTATTCGGTGCCATGTGCTGATTTTGCAACTGTGCTATGGCGTTTTGTTGGGCTTGCAACATTTCAAATATAACTTGGAGATTGACACCTTCGTCTCCCCTGCCCTGAGTACCTCGACCGTTAGTTCAACCCTCTCTGCGTACGCTTCCATCGGGGTCCCCGCCTAAGTCCGTATTCAGAGCAATATGCGAACCGACATCGACCGGGTTGACGGGTGGTGCTCCTCCGAGGTCAGCTTTTGGCACCTCGATTCCTGGAGCTATAATATTCTCGTTCTCTCCATGGAGTCCAAGAGCGTTGTCACCCTGAGTGGCTGTGTTTTGTGAGTTTGACATGGTTTATCCTGAAAACAAAATACTTGACAAGAAACAAGCGTAAAATAGTGTGTTATACCAGAATTAACATTAAACAATCACTATTATCCTTAGCCCCACGGTGGGTGCCAAACTGTTTACATCGAAATATAAGTAACAATTAAACTTGTAATGTGGTTATAAGGATACGTGATCTAATTCAATGCCAATTGATAAATAGCTAGATAAATAAAGGAATTAGACGATTTGAATGGATCAAACCCGTGTAATTGCAAGTTACTGACCCCGATCTAGATTAGACTCGAGATCAAGTGCCAAGAACAGTAAGAGTAACAAGAATAGTATGAACAATATGAATAGTAAGAACGGCCAGGAATTAAGAGTAAGTAAAAGGGCAGAGTGCTTGCATTTATTAGTAGTAACGTAAGAGATAATTCGTGTATGATGATAATGGTGATGATATCCCCCTACAAATGAACAGGGTTCCTCTTTATATAGCAGAGGAGTCCTAAATAGGGTATGACTCTAATTTCGGAAGTAAAATACATGATTGATATCATTAACCGTTAATGGTTCTACCGGTTCCCGAGATTCCCGCCGAGATCGGTGGTCGATCGCGGATATGTCGCGATCCTGTTACTGTAGTGTCGATTTAGCCTGATCTCGATCCCTTAGTCTTTATATTCTCTGTGCCCGAACTTGCTTCGATATCGGCTTACTCTCGTGACATACCCTCGAACCCGTAGAATTGGGTATCCTCGATTTTTTACGGTATACAGCTATAAAAGAAAAAAAAAATGAACTGATATTGATAAAAAGAAAGGTAATAATAATAACAGGTGATGTTGATGTGCTGATGTTAACCTAGTATATGTATGTATAAGCAACGTCCTAGGTAATGTTTAATTAGGACTAGTGGAAAGAAGAATCTCTTAACATGAAATTTAATATTGTATATATAATGTTTGATTTTATTTTACTTTTTCACATAAAACTTAGAATTATGTATACAAAGAATATAATATGGGTCCAATTATTCTTTTCAGCATAACTACTAATTGCATAAGTTATGCCAAATTTTATGAATTGTTTTACCTAGGATAAAACACAGAAATAGAATGTGGTGATGAGTAATACATTGTTTATACTCCCTTCATCCCGTTTTAACTGTTGCTTTAATTATTTTTACGTCCATTAAAAAAATAATAAATACAAGATATAATTTACTAAGTTACTCATATTAAATATTATTTGAGAATTAAACATTATTAAAAAAATTACTAGTAGTTCTTTTATATTAAAGGGTATTGTTAAAAAAATTAACAATTTTAGTCTTGCATACCTAAAGTGACAATTATTTTAGAACAATTCATTTGAGTTAAAGCACAACTAAGATGAGACGGAGGGAATAATAACAAAATGATAAAAATAACTGATATTTCATCTCTGTTAAGTAAAGATATATTTTTTTACACTATACGTTGTTTAATTTTTTTTTATTAACCTGGTAAAAAGTGATACCCCACGCATCAGCGATATCCATAATTGAGTGCAGTAGTATGTATATTTAAAATGAAAATGTTAATTTTATAAAGCTTAAAGAAGGGCAGGTGTAATATTCCGCGTCCAATGGTTGCTACTATAATAACTCGCCACTTGTCATTCAACTCTGTTTTAGGGGGCCGTTCATGGACTCCCTTTAAACGGTTTTTCTAGCAGTCCGTCATTCTCGTAGCCGTAACTGTTCTCCTGATTCTTTTTGTATTTCTCCGTACACGTTAAAACTGTTGTAAACAAATTATAGCAAAGCAAAAACTTGAAACCATGTGGAAAACTTCATGTTATTTGTTGAAACGGACGGTTACATCAGCTGCAATTAGGGCAAACAAGAATAGAGGATTAATTAATCAACATGGATGGTTTAACGAGTCGAGCCGGATTATGGGTGGGTATTATTTCAGTTCGGGAGGAGAAAAGAAGAATGGGAATGGAGGATTAATTAGTCAAGAGGAAGCAAAGAGATTGATGAGATTGGTGAATGTGGAGGAGCTGAAGACGAGGTTAGGGATGGAGAGTAAAGAGGTTATTGGGTATTCGGAGTTACTGAGAGTGTGTGAGAATATTGGTTTGGCGAAAACACAAGGCCAGGCTGTGGCTTTTGCAAAAGTGCTTGATGAGGCTGGGGTAATTTGGCTTTTCAGAGATAAAGTTTATCTTCACCCTAATAAGGTATTTTTCTCTTTTAATTTCACCCCTTCTTAATATATAGATTTTCTTTTTTGCCCACACGGAGTCGGTTGGAACCCGACTAATTCGAAGATAAAATGCTCCCTACCAAATGAGACTTCAATGGATGAGACATCTGATTAAGGACGAAAGATACGATATGTATGAATGTATTTTCATTCTTTTTTTGTATGTGGGATAGTGGGAAAAGGGGTTTGATTGCCTTGTATATGATTTATGATTTAATGTATCTTCTATCTGTTAAATCATGAAAAGGGAGATATTTTGAGCAGAGTTACCATGGAAAGTAGTCTTTTGCGCGAACATTTGGCGTTTGATTGAAAGGGGAGGCGGTGGTTGGCGGATCTGGGAAGCTTGATTTCTCAAACTTGGTCACTTAGAAAGAATTTAGAGAACTCTTCTTAGTTAGAGTACTCTTGGTTATTATAATTTGCAGAAAAATGTAGTATACATTTGACTAATACTTAGTTAGTTTATATATATGTCCAGGTAGTTGATGAAATAAGAAGGGCAGTGCCTCTAGCACTTCTACCTGAAGATGATCCTACAAAAGATGAGCTAAAGAATCTGCTGGAGAAGAAGGATAAAATTGATGAGGTTGCACATAAGCAGGTGCGTCGCATTTTGTGGACTGGATTGGGGGCTGGTATTTTACAGATTGGGCTCTTCTTCCGCCTTACCTTCTGGGAATTCTCTTGGGATGTAATGGAACCAATTACATTTTTCACTACTAGTACTGGTTTAATACTCGGATATTTTTACTTCCTCATTACTTCTAGAGACCCAACATATCAAGATTTGTTGAAGAGGCTTTTCCTTGCAAGGCAGAGGAAGCTCATCAAAAAGAATAATTTTGATATTCAGAGGTTTGTGGAGTTGCAAAGGAAATGCAAATTACCCCTCAATGGACAAGCATCGCTCAAACATCGCTTAGGGATACAACTGCAACCGGAAGATCTTTTACATGGTCACTGAAGGCAAACCAGATTGTTTTGGAAGAGAAGTGAAATCTTTTTTGGGGGAATTCAGAAAATAGTAACCAACCAAATACCTTTTTAGAAGAAAATTTTTCTTAGAGCTGTACAAATGGGCATGTATTCTTCAACATCTTCCTTCAAGGTAGACTTAGAAAGAAGTAATTCTTGACCATCATATTTCCATTAACCTTACAAATCTCATATGTTAGCTTGTTATCTTGAAATTGTATGTAGAGTCTGATGTTATACATTCGATTTTCAATTTTTGTTGTTCCACTAGTGATAATGTAGCTCGTAATATCGAAAAATTGGGAGAAGATTGCAAATAATATACTCGTGCTTGCATAAATGCTTCTTATACTAGATTCTTTGTTGGTGGGATAAGAGGGTTAGCTAAATTTACTCTTTTATTAATTGACAACTAGTAATATGATGAAATGACTAACGGAGTTCGGATTATTACCTTTCTGTAGGAGAAGGTATCAAATATGTAAGAAGCGGACACATCTCTTCTTATCTTTTCTTGATTTATCTTTCCTCAGTGTCTTCTTCAATAAAGACCTCATTGTCTTCTTCATACATAAGCTTGACTAAGGATTTGCAAATGTGAGGAATAGGCTTCGGGACAACCAAACCATTTTTTTTACGGTCTTTGGCCCATTTTCGATCAGCTTCTGTGGGCTTGAATCCTAGGCCTAAAGTGCCTCTTTTTTCGTAAGCCATGATGGGCTCAGTGATGCCTTGCAGAGATGCCCCTAGCCTTTTTCCTAGTTTGTACCATTTTTCAACATCTGGGTGGCTATCATGACAGATGTAGTAGATAGGCAAGGTTCAAGCAGTGCGGTCCCCTCTTCGCATCTATCAGCGACTACTATGTCGAAGGCATGGTAAACAATAGATTCGCTGCCCTTTCTGGCTTCGAGGCATGGGATTGAGGGGTCTTTATATACTGAGAGCTCATCCTTCTCGTGGACAACTATTTCTTGGTTGTCATGCTCAAAGGAGCATTGTGGGCCTACGGTCTTCCAAGGAGTGATTTTTAATCCTTGAAGGGTGGAGAGAGGGAAAATATTGACCCCTGAGTCGCCGTCAATCATCTCTATTCACGTAATGCTCCTAGCACTTGACGGTCACGTGAAGGGCTCTATTATGACTGCTCCATGAACAGGCAATTCACTCTCACTGAAAGATATCTTGTTTACTTCAAAGAATCGTTCGTCCATTCTCTCTAATTGGCTCATTGTTGCTGAATCTAGGACATATCCCTCATTCAAGGTTTCGATCAGCACCTTGGAGTGTTCATCTCAGCTCAGTAGTAATGACATGAGAGAGGTTTGAGATAGAGTCTATCTGAGTTGATCCACTATATAGTATCCGGGGACCTTCATCTTTTTATATAATTGTTCCGCTTCTTCATCAGTAACATGCTTCTTTAGAGGCATCTGGTTATCCCGATTCTACTTTGCCTTTCTCAACTCTTCTAGTGTATAGTACCTCCAGACCGAGTCATCTCATTGACATCTTCCGCGACCTCTTTCCCTTTATATGTGACTACAGTCTTGTTGTAGTTCTAAGGGATTGTCTTGGTATCTTTTATGAGGATCTGGGGTGCAGGACTGATCACCACAAGCTTTGTCAGCCTTTCAAACATTCTTGAGCATCGTGCAATCTTTGGTGGCCCTCTAAAGACATATAATTTTGGCACATTTAGAGTGAAATTCTCTTTATTTTCCGCCTTGGGAACACTCAAAGTGAGTTGCTCTTTGCTTGATGCCTTCGAAACATACAATACTAATTTACCTTTAGGCACCGACTCAATTCTTGTTTTGAGCTTTGGATGATCGGAGTTTCCTTCTTGGCTTCTGCAGTTGCTTTTGATTTTTCTTCGGGAGAAGTAAGGGCCACTATAGATTTTTAAGTTGGCATGAATTCCTTATCACCACATATCATGCCAATCACAGGCCCATTATTGTGAGCATGTAAATGATTGTTGGTAACATTGGGAGCCTCCTCTTCTCGGATCACAATAGCTTTTATCTCAATCAGGTCTTCCACAGCCCTCTTTAAGGTCCAAATATTTTCAGTATCATGACCTACAGCCTCTGAGTGAAATTCACTTGCATCTTCTCTGAACGATAGGGAGTCGTGGTCTGCCTTTTTAGGAGCTGCTGGCTGCAACAAACCCAAGCGAGTCGATTTTTTTAAAAAGGCTGGAGTATGACTCTCCAATGAGAGTGAAATTGTTTCTTCTTTGAGGTTCCCTTGTGCGGGGATTGTACTGTGGGACATTTGGCTAAGGATGAGGGTTGTGTGGGGCCTAGTAATTTGTATTTTGGGGACGTAGATTTCTAGAAGGTGGAGTTCTCATCTACTGATTTGGTGGCTATGTGTAGGATTGTGCGTTCATCATCGCGTATTGCGGTGAGGCCATAACATAGTAAATTTCTTGGTGGGGATAGTAGTGTTGTGGTGCTTTGGTTTGCATGTATGAGTGGCTGGGGAATCCCCAAATTCCCCTGGAACTTGAATCCATTATAGCTCCTTCTTCTGTATTCTTCTTGTTAGCCGGGCTTCTTGAGTCGTTTTGACTGGCTTTAGATGTGGCTTTGAGCGCGGCTTGGCTCATAATCCTTCCAGTATTTAAAATATTTTCCACCATCTCACCTATTTTGATTTACTTGGAAAAATGTTTGCCCATGGTGGACATCATATTTTTGAAATAGTCAGCTTCTCGAGTTCGGAGGAAAACAATTATTATTTCAGTTTTATCTATGGTTGGCTTGACCCTTGTCGTTTGTTCCCTTTACTTTACGGCATACTCACGAAAGCTTTCTGTAAACTTCTTCTTCAAGTTTGATAGTGAGCTGCGGTCAGGCGCAATATCGATGTTGTATTGGAATTGCCTAACAATGTCCCGAGCCAGACCATCCCACACGTGCCAGTGCGAGATCTCCTAATCTATGTACCATTTTGAGGCGACCCCAATTAAGCTTTTACCAAAGTAAGCCATTAGCAATTCTTCTTTACCCCCGGCTCCACTTAATTGATTGCAGTACCTCTTTAAGTGAGCAATGGGATCACCATGCCAATCATACTTTTCAAATTTTGGGGTTTTGTGTCCAGGAGGCAAGTGCACATAGGGGAACATGCAAAGGTCAGCATAAGACACACTCAGCTGGCCGCTCAGACCCTGTATGTTTCGCACACTTGTTGATACCCAATTTTTTCCCTATATATTTTTAAACATGCAAACTACTTTCAAAATATCATGAGCATGCCTATATAAGTATGCCCAAATGTTTTACTATTTTTTCTTAATTTTTAAGGATTTTTAAATCAATTTATTGCCCTATTTTATCCAGAAAAACCCAATAATTATTCCCAAAATTATAATTTTTGGTGATTCATTTATTGGATTTTCATATTTATATTAAAATGTGGCTAATATAATTTTTACATATTTTTACAAATTTATTTAGTATTTTTAAAGTTAAAATTGCATAAAATTATAATATTAGCCTCTTTTAGATTTAATTGCGTTTATGTCTATAAAAATTGAGTCCAGTATTTTTAATTTGATAATTATGTACTATTAGCCATTTTAGTACCTTTAATTTATTTTCAGAAATTATTTTACTATTTTTTATAAATCAAATAGGGAAAAGTGGCTATTTAAATGTTAGCCCATTTTTATTTCAATTTTAGCCTTATTTGGCACCCCATTTAAACCCAATCTGAGGCCCAATTACCCCGACCCAATTCCAAATTAATCCGACCCAAACCCATCTTCATAACCCAACCCGGATCCCCTACCTAATCCTAGCCGTTGATCTAAATGATCAACGGCCAATATCGGCCCTTACCTTTTTTAAACTCAAACTACCCCCTAACCCTAACCATTTCACACACTCCGCCGCCTCTGAATCCCTTTCTCTCTCAAACCCCTCTCAAACCCAGCCACCGCCATCAAACTCCAACCCTGAAACCTCCCAAATCCATGGCTTCCAAGGCCATCGGAGGCCTGTATCCACCTCCTATAGCTTCTACATGTCCGGTTATCCTGGTTTCAAGGCTAGATCCTGGAAAGTTTGGTCCAGACCTTGGTCGTTTTCAGTTTGATTGTTCTCTGATCGTCTCTGACCTTTCTCCGGCCAGCCATGGCTATTCGAGTCTAATTCTTGACTCTCCTGCTTAGATCGATGGTTTTTCATAGCCTTTCTCACCATTTGGGTTTCTCCTGAAACCCTAACCTTCAAGGTTCTTCCGATTTCTTTTAGATCTGTGTTTGCTCTAAACTTCTAAACGTTTTTTTAAAAGTTTCTCCTAAAACTCTACCTTCAAAACCCTTTATCTTTTTCGATTAGGGTTTTTGCTAAGTTATCTCGAAGCTTTCTCTGATTTTTGACATGTTCTACTGTGTTTCCTTATGTCGTTCGTCTACTGGAGTTTGCATGTTTAAAAGCCTTAATTTCTTTTGAGGTTTCTGAATCTATTTTTTGTTAATATTTGTTTGATTTATCTGTTTTTCGTCCCTAGACTCGATTGGTGTTAAAAAACCCTAAGTTCGAGTTTTTGAGACTATTTGTTGTGTGATTTACTTGTTCGTCATCTTTGAGTTTGATTGGTTTCAAAACCCCTAATTTCTTTGGGGGCCTATTAGAACTTCTGAAGCTGTTTGTGCAACTCATCTGTTTGAAGTTGCTTGACTGGATTTGAAACCTTTTTATTTCAGCATTTGTTTCTTTATGTGATTTTGATTTCCTGCTATTATTGAAACTCGACTATACTTTTTCAGAAGGGCCTTTTTACTTAACCCTTTGCATGCTTCTGATACTCTCTCTTCTCTCTGTTACTAAGTTAATGAAATTGACCTATGTGACTACCATGTTTCGATAGTTCACTGTCTACTGACTATGTGATTGTTATTGCATGCTGCTTCTCTTTGCCATAGTTTGGCCTCACATGCCTAATGTTTATGCACTCTATTTATATGCTGAATTCCCCTCTTAAATGACCTTCAATTTTGGACTGATTTCAAACCATCCCTTGTGAAATTCCGATTGCACTTGTATGTTAAATAATTGATTCTTTCCTTGTTTCGCCTTACTGATTTCCCTGTTTCTTGGTCTAATTTGAACACTTTCCTGTGAACCTTCAATCCCTACTTTTCTACTTAATTTGATTAATTCCCTTACCTTGGTTATATTTGGTATTTGATTCTTACCGACCTTTCCTTGTTTAGAATCTGATGAACCTAGTCTCTATT